CCCCCCCAACCACCACCACCACAACGACTGCTATATAGTCTATGGACCAGGGATCGCATGGCTGAAACAACGTGTGCTGGCAGCTCGCACGCGCGAGACCGCACTGCGACTACTCGATGGAGACCCAGAACCGTACGACATCGCGCCTTCCGAGGCACTCGAGTGTAGCGATGGTATTCAACCAAGCGCGTTAAAAACATACTAGACGTTATGTGATTTTCAACGGTTGAAAATAGACGGGTAGGTTGATAACGCTTTTTCTTACCGTTACCAGCCACACTTAGAGAACACCCTCAATAGAAGACCTATACAGACTCGGAGCAACATAGCAGTCTGGATTCTGGTGCATCACTTCGATGTACCCATAATTACTCCAACGATCAAGCCGTCGTCCGAGTAAGCTGTGGCATTCTTCTGTCTTATCGCAAGCGAAATCATTGTCAGTGGATCTCGGTTGCCTCGCTACGTACCTGGCCCGGACTCATCGCTGTCTCTTCAGCTGCATCTCACGGCGTCGCCATTGCCCCCATTGTCGATTCTATAGGTATCCGTAGCAGCTGTTACGTGGCAGCATCGTGTATCCGAGTCACCGGTCCACCACGAAGAGAAGTCCGAGTCTCAAGAGCCTCTTTAAGCTCCATCACCTCCCATTATCGAGCAGCGTCAAGTGATGCGGTCGTCTGCGCGGTTGTCGCAGCGGTCTCCTTCTCACCGTCCTGGTCGCCCGACCATCCCGTCTGGGAACATTTTGTGAAGAAACCCAAAGCCAACGGAAAGCTTGCAGCTGAGTATAGAAACTGTGCTCGCCTCATCAATACCCGTCAGCCTAGCAGGTTCCACACCTGATTGCATACCAAAGCGCACCAATTTTGACGCGACAACAGTGGGGTGAATATCAAAGAGCGGAGGAATCGCGAAAGCAGCAGCGATGTCAAGCTGCTTGTGTACCTGCTAGCGCTGGTGCTTCTTCCAGTCACAGTGCTACGGCAGCAACGATCTCTTCGAGCCCTCCTGGTCGCCCAACGGTTTCGCAGGAGCAGTTCGACTTCGCACTGGCCCAAATGATATTTGGGTGCGCTCTGTCTTTCGTCTTAGTGAAGTCAGTGTTCTTCCGTCAGTTTATCGAGTTGTTGGCACCCGGTATCCAGTTGCCATCGCGGAATAAGTTGGCAGGCTCAATTTTGAATGACATGCGGGACAAATGCAGGAAATTGTGGTGAATCTAATTAAGTGATATCGAGTGGTGTCAGTTGTCATAGATGCGTTGAGCGATACAAATAACGCCAGCATAATCAATTATATGGTTGTGGCTCCTGGTATACCGATACTGATTTGGTCATCTTTGCTGACTGGTACGGAGAAACACACCTGTTCAAACAAGGCCAAGCAATTAGAAAGAGTAGTTAGTGAGGTTCAAACTGAAACAGGCGAAGTTGTTGCATGCATCATCACAGATAACGCCAGTATGGATTTGGTGAATTACGTGAACTTGATTACGCGCATTAAGGACTCGGTGATAGGCGTGGTTGACTCTGTGGGCATCTGCTCTCAGGTGCTTCGGTCTCTTCTTCTGCTTCTATTCGTGAGCCATAGCATTCTTTTTGTAATTTTCTCCGGGCCTACGGCAGCGACGAGCTCCCACGAGCCGCGTTCCTGTGTGATGATGCGCTCCACAGCAGGCTCAAGTGCAAATTTATTGAATCTGTCAAGAAGATTCATTCGCACAGTCCCCAATAGACGGACTTCACCATCCGTAAATAGGTCGATGGCGCGAGCGTACGTGTGTCGTGTGTAGAAATTATCTGTCACCAGTACACGGCGGCCGCTTGGGGACCTAAATGTCCTGGTTTGGTGTCCAGCCATAGAGATCCACAAAGCAGTGGCTGACTTGGGTCAATGTTGACTTCAGGAAGCGAAAGCGTATTGTACAGAGGTGTTCGAAGTGATGGAAATAGTTGAGTATACTGCTCAGCAGGTGTAGATCGCGTAGTACTTCCAGATCCATCATCCCACACAGAGTGAACGTAAAGTGCGTCCCACCCAACAACTGCATAGAATTGAAGCCCGTACTTGTCGGGCTTTGAAGGCATGTACGTCCTCGCGCGTAAACGGGCCTCGGTCCGGACAGAAATCTCATCGAGGCTGCTAGTGCCCACAGGAACCGCCGTCTCTGCAAAACTCTTCTGAAAATGCTGCAATAGATCACGACAGCGATAAAGAGGATCGTTGACTGTTGAAAATGTAACCTGAGCTGGTGGTTGAAATTGTAGAGCTCCACGAATTTGCTGGAAGCGACCCTGGGCCATTGTCTCGATGAAGGCAGGTTGCCCAAGGAAGCGGTCCTTTGACCAAAAGTCAGCGATCTCATTGAGAGGACTCATACTCATCGCAATTTCGAGTCCAACATATGCATTCAGCTCGTTTTCAGTCAAAGGCATCTTTCCCCCAGCTTCCAATTTGGCCGAGGTCCACCCTCTAATGCTCTGACATAGTGTGGCAGTAACAAATAGCGCAAATAACCCGTACGACCCGTCCTTCTCGTATGCATTCTTGACTCGTGTCTCCAGTGCCAAGTGTAGCCCAGCTCTACCCTGAAATTGACGTGAGATACTCATTATCAGCTAGCGTCGCCGATGTCAGCCTTGGTGATGGTCGTTTCGTGGCTGAAGGTGCATGAGCTGGTTGTAGTCGCACAGAATTGCAGCTACCATGATCGAGTGGCAGCTCTAGCAACGAAGAGTCATCGCCATTACTGTCGAGGCTCTCTGCGTCGCTTTGCACCTCCCGCTCGCCAAGGATGTCGTTGTCCATTGCTCTCGCGGCAGCTTGAATGTAGGAGAATGATGAAAACCTCTACCGACGTTATAAAGCACACACATGCTGATTTGATACGCTCATCGATGGCTGCGGTAGAGGTCCGAAAGGACCTGTTGCTGACAGCAGTACAGCAAACCTAGCCCCCAAGCCATATAATACCCAATCAGAATGTGTTCTATACTGCATTACAGGTGTTTGAGGACCTATACGGAAGCTCGGAGCTAAAGGGTTAAAATGGAGAAAAGGCTTGATAGTTCTGTTTAAAGAAAGGTGGCGGTGACGTCGAAGCGACAGCATCACTATGCACAAAGGTAGACTTGAAGAAAATGAAAGTGTATTTGTATACCAATGGATATGCCATCAGTGATATTAAGTTGCTGCTCTACTTATGTCTCCGCCGGTAACTGTTTGGGCGGATATCGAATCTCTCCGGTGACCACTAGTATTGCAGTGCCAGCCTTACCTCTCATGTGGCAACATCGTCGACGATTTATGCCCATGCCAACCGACTTCTTGAGTGTATGGCACCAGCGGCCGATGTATCTGCTGTGCCCACGTCACAAAAAAGCCCAGCACGCTAGCGGTTGCGAGACGAGAACAGCTCACTGGATTTTCGACCACGGATCGTGGAACCTGGGTACGATAAACACAGGATTTAATTATATATTTATCCAACACCATCGGAGATGACCACATGACCGCCACGGTTCTCAGAGGATGCAAACCCACTGCTGCCGTCCCGCCCCAAGACTTCTCCAGCTTCGAATCCGACACGCGTGAGTTGATTGAGAGGCTCCAGCGTACCTTGTGGGCAGCGTGCTACCAGCTCAAGATGGAGAGCTGCAACACCAACGAGAAGGTTCTTGGCGTTCTTACTGCCTGTGTCCTCCGTCGTTACTCTGTGCTGAAGAAACTCAACCCGATAGTCCGGCGGTTCAGCGACTAAAAAAACTACGTTGCACGTGTTGGTCGGCCGATGGCAGATCTTCTCGCGTGGTCGACGCATCTTGCAGAAACTCCATAGCCCTGCACAAACAGTACGCAGACGATCCAGCCGCCATGCAACCGCGAGCGCAAGCAAAGCCCACCAACGTGCAGAAGGTCATTGATCAACAAACCGCTGTCAATAATCACCTTATCGAGAACGCCAAGCGTCAACATGTATGCGGGAGGCAAAGCTGATCGGAGGTACTATACCTACTACACCCAAAAAAGACAAGCAAGAAGGCACAACGGACGAGAGCAAGCCCAAGGAAAAGGGCTAACACGGTAACAATGAGTCTACAAGCGACTTAGTTTTCCTGGCACGCGCACGAGCCACGCTGGCAGTTAGGAGCACTCAAGTAGCAGAGGTTGAAGGCTAAGCTGATCATTGCTTTCATGACGCTATTCCTCACGGACTGCTTCACGTTCGACCACACCGCAGCCGACTACCGGGGCTCAGCTCTGAAGCCAGGGAAGCGCGCTGAGATGGTCATACTTGCGTATATAAAGACGGAGCACACAACCAGCTCCCATTGTTATAGCGTGGTCGTAAACCACCTTCAGAAGCTTCACAGCGATAGCACGTTTAATCCTAACGCCTATATGTACGACGTTCTTGACGAAGTTAGCAAGTGGCACAACAAACAAGCTTCGTATGCATCCATCCTTATTCAGTGCACGTTGTCTGCTCCATCTCAACACAGGCGAAGCTCACTAGCTCACTACACACCCTCGAACCCTGACCTGCTTCATGTGGCCTCCAACCCATCTATAATCATTATCAATGACCCCCGTTTGAACAGGCATTCTCAAACCCGAAGCCTTGCGCTATTCCAGTTGAACTGCACCGTTAGACGG